CGAGTGGGGAACCAACCGATGGATCCAAACCCCTGCACTCAGCCCAGCCCCAGACCGAACGCCGTGTTCGCAGACCGCACCCAGCCTGGGGTGGGTGCAACGACACGACGTGAATCAAGGGAGGAGTCTGTGCGTGCTGGAGAGACCTCTGAAAGTCAGGGGTATTGCTAACGTGTCTGGAAGGCCAGCAGCCTCTAACAGAAGGGTGCCAGGGTAGGATCCCGGCAGCTGGAGATGGGAAGGGCCAGGAGACCATTCTCTGCTAGGTCATGGTTTTGTTGCTGGGCCATTTTTGGTGCTAAGAAATCTTTCCTGGTGACATTCACAGCCAGCACAGGAAGGGAGGCATCGATGGGGCAGGCGCTATGGCCCCCGTCCCCACTGCATCACTGACTGACCCGCTGAATAGCTGAGCTCCCAGCTTGGACTTTGGACAATGTTGCTTCTCACCTGCCTGCCAGACTCAGGATGAGCAAAGAGGGGTGGGTCAGACAGGAGCTGAGGAGAACCTGGCCCAGGGCTCAAACCCAACCTTGCCTGAGGCCCCATTGATCAGTTCAGCTCTCGCTTATGCCCACACTCCTCCAGGTTTCCCATTTCCAGGTGCAACCTGGAGTAGAAGCACTGAGACTGTTCTTGTGGGAGCTACTGGCGCTGGCAATCCAGCGAGCCCCTTTGCAAGGATCCTGCCTGAGCAACGAGCAAATAGCTGCCTGTTGCTAGAATGACTCTGAGTTTCCATTAAGGGGAAAGCAAATCAAGAGAGGACAGAGCCCATCAGAGAGCATGGTGTGTGTGTGTATCTCCTCTGGCATGCTCTGCACCCAGCTGAACACAAAATGGCTGCCTATCTCAGCAGTGTCCTTGGGGAATAATTCAAGGTACAGTCCACAGGAGTCACAACAGTTACAGAGCTCTGCTTCCTGCGCTGTTCCCAGGGAACTCCCAGATCAGATGAGCAGGCATGCTTTGGGGACTTCTCCAAACCTCGGTGCTTCGCTCAGTATTACGGGAAGAGGTGTGTGGGGGGTCTGATATTGCCAGAGCTACACAAAACCCATGCTTCTGTTTGTGTCTCTGGACAGACATACCCCAGGAGCTGTATATACCATACCTGCCTCTGTCTCTCCATCACTCTTCTGCACATGCCTGGCCCTGCATGTCAACCACCTCCCGGAACAGCCAGGGACATGCACCGAAAACCCTCGTTCTAACTGACAAGACTCACTATTGTCTCTTTATTGACACTCACACTATGTATCTAACACACAAGAAAGGGCCCAGAATAGATCCAAACAACACAGATACGGTGTTGAGATGTAGACTTCGGATCCAGGGTTTTGGTTCAACCCCTTCTAAGGGCTGGGGTCAGTCACAAATTGTGGACTGACCCCTGAACTTTCCTAAAACATGGGTGATTGTGAGTCAGGCTAAGTTCTCTGAGAAAGCAGCACAGCCACGTGGGTAGGATGCAAGACTCTTGGGTCCCATTCCCAGCAATGACTTACTGCATGATCATGTGCAAATCACGCCCCAGTCTGTGCCTCAGTTTCCCCATCCACAAAATGGGCGTAGCAATACTTACTCTCCTGTGTACGGCACTTACAGATGTAGAGGGCTAAACAAGAGCTAGGTGTGGTTATTAAAATAACACTCATCCAGCCCAGACACATCCCAATTCTGGAGCATTCTTCAATCGTTTGCCCAGACACCACCATTTCAGCCGTCAGAATAAACAAATAAATAACTATAGGTTGTCAGCAAATCCAGGCTGCACCCGAAAGGGCAGCCCGTAATGCAGGCGCAGCAAGGAAAAACCAGTCGTGTGTCTCCAATTCCCTCTGCCCTTTATCCTGAGGGAGTGGGAGTGCCTCACAACAGCCACAGCGCACGAGAGGATAAAGTCCCAGCTGGGTGCAGAGTCAGCGAAAAGGACAGAGCAAAACCAGAGTCCCAGAAAGTTCAGAGCAAGAGCGAGAGAAGGAATAACCCAGCCGGGGAGAAACAAATTCCTGAACCCCCGTGGATTCATACACCCCCTGGCTCCTGTTCAGCCCTGCCAGGAGCTGGCTCCTGCCCAAGAAAGCCAGCTGGGGGCACCATGCTTATGCCCAGGTTGAATTGGGCCCAGCAGGTGCATGAAACAGAGAAGAGATCCAAGGAAGGACAACCCAGCCCTCCCCCCGACACGCACACACGCAGCGCCCCCATCAGCTCCTCTGGCGGGTGATGTGTGACAGGACAGCACAATAGCACACGGCCAGGGCTGTACCCGCCGTCGTTCACCGCACACGCCTGCCATAGCTGCTGGGAAGGCCACGGCTCGGGACGGGCGTGGTCAGCGTGTCATGTTTGTGAACCCAGCCAGCTTGTGCAGAGCAGCATGTGGCTCCCAGCTCCGCAAGGGCTGTGTAGGGGGTGCCAGAGGCAGAGGCACGGGAGCTATTACACTCAACCTCCTCAGCTGTATGGCTCCAGCTGCTGCAATGCTCACCGGCCCCCGGGGCATCCGACGAGCAGCTTGCTGCTGGCACATCCCCGGCTAGCCAGGGGCCAGGCTGACCTACCATACAGCCCTCTGGGACACAGGGCCCCTGCGGAGGCCAGGCGAAGCAACACTGAAATGCAGGCTGTGAAAAGCGCTGGGGACGCACCGGGCTCACCCCGTCCCTGCCAGCGGGAAGGTTAATGCTCAGAACTGGGCAGGCGAGGCCCGGGCTGCAGCCCAGCTCTGCCACAGGCCGCTCGTGGGACCTTGTGCACATGGCCCCAGCCCTCCCTGACTCGGTTTCCTTCTCTACGCGGCGAGCTGGCCGAGCTCCCACCGGTGCGAGGCTCGGGGCCCGTGGGGATGCTCCGCTGAAGGGGCTGGCCGAGTGCTGCCGATGGCATTAACACCCCCGACCCACAGCCGCCGGCAACGGGGGGAAAGATCCCCAGTGAGACGTGGGCTGCTGCACTCTTGTGCCCTCTGCCCCACCCTGGTTCTGGGCTGTTCCAGGGAGCGATGCCCCATGCAACAGACAACGTGGCATCATCTCAGAGATGTGGAGGCAGGGGGCGCCTGTGACTTTTCCTCCAGCCCTCCCCACCCTCGGCCCAGGCAGGGAGAGCGTGAGACGCCCTGTGACTGGCACGGCCCTCCGAGAGCTCAGACGGGTGCTCAGTGACAGCTCTGTCCCCAGGAGAGTGGGAGGGAGCCATGGTTCCCCTCCTCCGAGCTGGCTTTGGACAGAGGATTGAGAGACCAGGCAGGGTCCTGAACCGGCAGCATCTGTGAGCGTCCGGGCCCCTGCGCATGGAGAGAGAACAGAGCCTCGGCACGGCTGGACCCAGGTGAACAGGGAGCAGAGGGATTGGACAAGGTACTTGGTAAATGGCTTCGTGTTGTTGGGAGAGGAGAGGCTGGGATAGAGTCCTTGTCCCAGAGTGAGGGGGGAAGCACAGAGCTCCCTCATGGCCAGATAGAGTATTGCAGCAGCTCTGCCTCAGTTTTCCCACTCTCTTCTTTGGCAACCAGAGTGACCTGGCCCTCCACTCCCCTCCGGGCCTGAATCCTTCACTCAAAGTCCAACAGAAAATAGCAAAAAAGTCTTCAGCCCGGCTGGGAGCCCCCTTCCTTGCAGATGAGTCCCAGCTGCTATGACTGGCAATGCTGACCCGCATTCCCAGTCTGCAGTCCCACCACCCAGGGCCTGGCACACTGTCCCCCTGCCCAGGCACTGAGGCACAGAGTGGTGAAGTGACTTACCCAAGGCCACCCAGCAGGCCAGTGGCAGAGCCAGGAACAGCCCTCAGGTCTCCTGAGCCCCAGGACAGTGCTCTAACCACTAGACAAGAAATTCAGAGACTTGGCCATGGCTTGCCTGCTCCGTCCCAAGGAGGCAGGCGCCATGAGGCACCCAGTGTGGTAACACAATGGATCCTGGAGAAGCCGGCAGGAACTTCTCCGTGTGGATTTGGGCACATTGAAACATAATGAATTTGCAATTGCACCCTCCGGTTTGCACTCCCGGCTGCACAATGCGTGCACCAAACTGCATGAGATGCACATTCCCTGGCATATAATGGAGGCAAAGCGACATACCTGGCAGCCTGCTGCCCCGTCCCTGCTGTGTTACAGAGGAGAAGCAGCACTCTCCCGCCTCCGCCATGGTGCAAGAACTCCGAGGACATGGCCCCGGCGTGGGGCAGTCGCTGGCCTTCAGGATCAGAGGAGTTGGGGGAAGATGGAAGGCTGAGGGGGCAGCCTGAAGAGGAGAAACACAAGAGCAAGAGGGCAGAGAATGAATCCCCGAGTCAGGGCTCCGGCATCGCACGCTGCAGGGGGCATGTATGGAAGCACCGATCAGGGGACAGTTACCGACTTGTTACCCCAAAGAGAGTGGGGCAGTGAACTCCTGGCAGGCCGGTGACCATGGAAGGCCAATGACATGCTGTCTCAGGCAGGCCTCCGGTGGCTCCTCCTCCCCCTGCCAAGTCTGCAAGCTCGGGAGATCCGGTCCCCCGGCCTGGCTGAGCGCTGGGCTCCCCTTCTCCTCACCAGTCTGTGAGGCATGGGCACCCCCAGGGGCATTGGTGATCAGCTTAGGGCCTGTACATCTCCTCCTGCCCTGACGGGTAAATCCCACTGAATAAGACTGCGTTCCTGCACTACCACGGGCAGGAGGAATCAAAAAGAGTCCCGGGCTGAGCACTGATCCATTTGCAGGGTGTACGGCTGGTGAGGAGAAGGGCATGGCCCTGCCCACGGAGCACCTGCCATCTCCCGACCTTCTTACAATCAGGGCTGGGCAATTAACCAGAGCCCCTCAGTCTCTGTACGGTTGGGAGACAGCAGGAGGTGCTCCATGCAGCTTGGCTGCCATGTGCCCCAGCTCCCAGCGCTGTACGCTCCATCTCCTCTGACGCTTTCCAATGTTGGGACTCTCGGTTAGCTTGGAGAGGTAATTAATCACTGCCAGGATGTTGGGACTCTCGGTTAGCTTGGAGAGGTAATTAATCACTGGCCGCACACCGCATCACCCAGAATTACACTGCCGGAGGCTGCTGAACCAGATTTCCCGCCGGCCTGTGGTTTCAAACCCCCCATCTACACACCCACACACACACACACACACACACACACACACACACACAC